TGCTGGAGGGGACGGGGTGCACGGTTCTTGTGGCCGTGCTAGGCTCGAAGAGTGGTTCCACACACGCAGTGTGGAGCGGACTACGGTCCAGCCACCGCCTTATGCGTGCTTGCTTCCTCAAATACAGCGTGGTTGTGGTTGCTTGTGAAGGAATGTCGGCCGGCTCCGTTGATGAAACGTGGCTCCTATCCATATGCCTCCCGGACTTATTCCTTCGGGTTTACACTGGATATGGGGTGTGTGGATGGAACTTTGGGTGGTGCAACGCAAGCCACGCTTGGTTTCTCTGTATGCACAGGCGTCCTGTGGCTGTCCTATGGAGGACTGAGTGTCAGGCAAATCTGGAACCGGATGCCATCAACCATCTGAAACGGTCGTCTTTTCTACTCCAGCTTGATTCTCGTGCACTGAAACAAGTCGGAAGCTGAAACGGTTGAACTAATCGCGCGAATTAAGTACTCTCACTATTCTATTCCGCAACACAACAAGAGAGTTGGGTATTCATTAATCAAGCACCGTCAATTTAGTGGAGCAGATGGAATTCATAGCAGCCAAAACACACCAAACAGCGCGGTTCATCTTCAAATCACTGATATTGCGTGATTCCAAGCTGCATATGTTCATAATCTGCGTGTGCCCTCTTTTAGAATACTGTTTGATGATATTTACCAGTTGTAGGATACGTGATTGTCGATGCTTGGAGAATGTGCAGCGTCGATTCACCAAAGCCCTATTTACCGAATCCCCAACACCAAACTATTCAGAGCGCTGTATTCTGCTTAAATTAGAGCCGTTGTGGTTACGGAGATTGAAACTGGGCCTGAAGTTTCTATTCGACTTAGTGCACAAACGAGTATTTGCCCCACACACTAGTATACACTACATTCAGAATGGAAAGCATAACATTAGGAGTAAGAGAAATTCGCTTCCCACAAGTAGAACAAAAACAAGCATACGCAGGAAGTTTTATCTGACTAAGTACTCAGATATCTGGGACAGACTACCTACTGAATTATGACTATGTGAGTCTAAACAATAGTTTGAAAAGTGCTGGATACGTACCACACTGTGTTGTAAGTCAAAAACTTATGAAACTGGACTGCAGTGTGGTCAATATATGAAGAAGGGGTTGAAGTATAGGTGTAAGGGACAAGTGCACGATAATGTACAAACTGTCTGAATAATATCTTCATCGTTTAGTTAAACCATTAAACTTATTCCCATTCCAACATCACGTTATCTCGCTTTTCGCCATGTAAAACTAATCTTCCTTTCTCTCTTTACGTTTGCTGCGCACTGCTAATTGCTATCAATTTTTTCAGAAAACAACTCATCTATCTGTGTCAGTACTTGATGCTATCTGAAGTTCATTTCCACACCAATTACTTTACAACGATTGTCTGGAGTCGCTGGATCTATCACAAAATAGTTCATAGAGCCTTTTTCCATTACCTTTACTTTTCTTATGTATTCCCTATTTACAACCTGAAGCAGAACTTGTTGGCTATATACCACTCATTTATCATTATTTGTATTTCGACACCTACAATACTACATCTTTCTACCGTTGACTACGACTGGGCCGATCTCCTGACGTGATGGAATGAAGCTTCCGGATTATTTAATACACCCACGTGTGAGGAATTGTCACAGACCTAATGGTGAGAAAAATATGTCTAATCAAGACAAATAGGTACACACTCATCGAGTGGAAAAGGTGCCAGACTTGAAGGAGTCAGAAGCTGAAATGGGATGAATGGCTCAAAAGAGTATTAAAAAAACAAAAACATGGGAGCTTACTTATCTTTGCGAGCCTATTACTCAATATACATAAGAATGGCCATAAAAAAGAGCTAGTATGATGAAGGCTCGCTTGCTGTTATGCCACACCGACACGAAGCCAAAAGGGGACGTGGAAGCGCGAATGAAACCTTTCGAGGGAATACCCCGCATGGAAGCAGGTCCCTAGGAGTCGGTTCCACGGTTAGCCGTATTAATTGTGCCTTTTTTCAATAACCACCTTTATCCTACTTTTAAACTCGCCTTTTTACCCTTTGTACCAATTGAACTCGGCAAATCTGAAATAACATGTGTACTTTAAGAACATGTTGTACCATATGATCAGTCCACGTTTTGGACTGTAACTCACACGGTCCAGAAACATAAATACATATATAGCTAAGGGACAGACATGAAGCTCCTAGAAAGTATAGCGGCTGTACTGAAGACTACAAGGAGATGCCCATGGACAACATGCATATTTGGTGCGCTGATGATAGTCACTTAGTAGGAGTATTCACGCGCCTACGAAACTAGGACCATGTGGAGAGAGGAGAACTGGAGCCGATGTTTGGGAGCGTTACTGCACAATTTAAAGAAGTAGAAGGAGTTGCATTAAGCGTAGCAAGAACCAAATGGGTAATGTGTAAAGGAGAATAGATCGATTCTCAGGAAATAGTGAAAGCATTGGACGAACGAGCTAATTTTTTGGCCGATGATGTTTTCATTAGTGGAAGAAACCGTGTCTAAGTCAGAAAACGATTGTGCTTTGAGGCAATTCCAAGTTCACTCCGTAGGCCAGTCCAACGGATACTGGTTTATCGCTGATGTAATCATGGTTGACGGCATCTGGTTCCGAATTTGCCTGTCATTGTGGTCTCCACGGTGACAGCCACAGGACGCCTGCGCCTACAGAGGGGACATGGGCGGCTTGCGCTGCACCACCCACAGCTCCATCCACACACCCCACTCATATCCAGTGTAAACCAGAAAGAATAAGACCGGTGAGCGGTTACTTCATTTGTGTGAAGGTGCTCGCTTATTTCTTGCAAGCACTAACTTCCGACGCAGGACTCGTCAGAAGGTGACATGGCGCCCACCAGCATCGAACCAGCCATGGATGCAAATCGATCACATCGCAATCAGCAATCGCTGGAGAGGCTGTGTGCAAAATGGTCGCTCGATTTGAAGCACATGTGTAGACACTGACCATGTACTTGTGTGTGCTGATTTGCGTGTGCGTTTTCGCGATCGCCCTCGACGACCCTGTGAGCGCATAGAGACCAGCTAACTGCCGAAGTCACGTGTTTTGAATGCTTTCCTCCAAGATTGGTAGGGACTGACTCCTGCGCTGACCCTTGGTGGGGATCAGCTGGAAGTCGTTCAAAAGTTCAACTACCTAGGTACCTGTATCAGCGCCGCTGGGATTGAAGACGAGGTCACAAACAGTATAGCAAAAGCGCGGGGCGCTTTTGCTAACCGTCGCCACCTATGGCACCGGCGCGACATAACTCATTGAAGGGTAGAGTTTACAATGCAGCCGTACGTTCGACCCTAATGTACGGTTGTGAAACCTAGCCCATTCGATCGATATAATAATAATAATAATAATAATAATAATAATAATAATGTGTCAGCTGTATGCCGTAACGGCGCTTCGCTGCTGCGCGACCACCAACAATCGCGCGCGGACTGAGTATATCACGAGGACGCCCACCCTACGCGGATTCAAACAGGTGACCTTATGGTTGCAAACCAAACGCGCATACCACTCGGCCACCGACAGACAGACATAAATAGGCTAGTTATGTTCGCCCACCGGTGTCTTCGCAGTTTGGCTCATATCTGATGGGAACACTGTGTGCGCAATGAGCGTGTTCGAAGCCTTGTTCATAGCGCAAGAAAAAGAAGCGAACCGCTCAGCACTGTTATTTCATGCACCAGACTCCGATGGTTGGGCCACGTGTTACGCATGCCAGCCCACCGACTCCCGCGACGTGCGTTGTTTGCGCGCCCGGGGGGGGGCGGATGGAAGAAGAGAGTTGACCAAGCGATGATTTGATCAAGAGGAATGAAGGTGCTTACTTCGAATTTGGCATCGGTTTGAGCCTTTCGACTCTATGGCTGGGGACCGAAGGACGATGAAAACGTTTGGTTGGTACAGTTGCTCACATGGCTAGGAGGCGACCACAATGGAGTTCGTGTTGTGAGTTTCTTTGTCCCTCCACCTCCCACTTAGCCTCCCCCTCCAACCGCGGTCTCATTTATTAGGCATAATACAACTCATTTTTGCGGCACAATAGCTGGCTGTTAGCTCTCCGGAATGATGTCTATCCGTTACTGGTGACTCAGCCGGAATACCATTATTTCATGCTTTTTCCATTCTTTTGCACTGTGGCAAAAGAGCTGAGGTGTTCCCAACATGTGGCTAAGGAGTATAATTTATAACATTCAAATCAAGCGCAGCCACACCAGGGATATCAAACAACCAACACAGAATTTGAGGGAAAGCAAACACGCGAAATTGACGCAGAATATGCAGTAGAGTAAAAGTGAACAAACCAAATAAAGTGGAATGACTTTTATCAAGATTAAAAAGATATAGTTTAAGTGTAAGTTGGTTTAGCCTAGCTGCGGTGAAGAAGCATCAGAAATGCAACATGAACCTCAGCATGAAGTACTGATGTAATCATATCAGCCTTGATATGATTACGAGAAGTCAACAAGATGATGAAAATTATTGTAAACATGTTGCTTACATATGAACGATCACGACATGGGGAATGAACAAGTAAAATAAAGTGAAAGACACTGGTAATGCAGGAAGTAATAATCAGTACAACAGTTTCGAGTGGTGATTAAAACAACAAGGCGTGGGAATGAGGCTTTCGCATGGAGATCAGCAGATCCAAGATCGCACGTGAAAGTTCATGTCCTCACGGCTGACGGAGTGACGTAACGGAAACAATATAGATAAAGTTCTCGGTACATGTTGGAAAGATCAAAAAGTGCGCTTCTCATGAGCATGAAAGTGGGTTGAGGTGGTCACAAACTTACAGAGCATTCGGTCAGGCTTATTTGCAAATAACTGAATGGACGGAAAGAGGCTGAGGCGTTCAGTAGTTAAAAGCTGAAAACAATCCTGAAACCGTTGCCCGATGGGGGTAACCAACCAGCGAAAATATCCGCAGTGACATATAGTAAAGCAGGTGAAGACTTACAACCGCATCCTTGGGCGGGGAATGACGGATTTTTGATAACTTTTGTAGCCACCAAGACCAAACCTGAGGAGACGATCGGTCATGGTGCGTTTGATAGGTTCGTTGTAACGATACAGTTCCGAGCGATGCAACCTGAAACGTCGAGTGGGTGCGGAAAAGTAGATACGATATGGAAATAGCTGGCAAACAAGGTAAAGAGTGATCCATCGACCTAAGTTAAAAGTTGTGCACTGAGCAGATTAGTGACGGGAAAAGCATGTATACCTTAGTTACAAAGAGTAAATCTGGTGCCCAACTTTTATGAGAAGCGGCGGGTGCTCGCTGGTAGCGCAAAACCGAAAATGTGAGTGCTCTAATGGATTCAAACAATGTGCAGAAAACATTCGGATCGCGCCATCGGGAGTGATGTTTAACCGCAAGGAGTTGGGGGACAACTCGGAGTAAGTCACCGACGGGAAGAAGAGGCAAGAAACCAAGTCGATTTGAGATCACCGCATTTCGATAGCAGGCCGTCTACATGATACCATTTTAGGTTTACATCTTTAGAATCGTTATAAGTGAAAGGAAATAAAGCTTACGATCATGCTCTGGAGAACTCTGATAGCAGTAACGGCCTTACGGTTGCATAAAGCAGCCCGGACCGCGCTTGTGACAGTACACGGGTATTCGCAACGGACATGTCTGGCTGAAAATACTGAAAGCGTCCAGTCTTCCCAAATCAACCACAAAACGGATAAGAGCCGCTGGAGTACATGCTGCTTTTATTCAGTGATTGATTGTCATAAGCTGTTCGCACGTCGATCCCCACGGGTTACGATCTAAGAATTACAGGAGCGCTATAATGAGTATTTTTTGCCAGTGGTAGACTTGACAAATGGGGTTAGAAGTCCAGGGCACCACAATTGCAATAAGAACTTTCATTCACTTTATACAGACCGAACGGAGCTGATAGAAGACGGGGGGGGGCAACAATGCGGTCATTCGTCGTTGACAAAACTATAGGATTAGTTTCATCGGAGGTCAAGCCCAATAGAACAGCATGAATACAAATCGCAGTCCCAAGCACTAAGTAATATGTTAAGTCCCAAGGGAGATAAATTGAACAGTCGCTCCCTACTAAATGTTCAGTCGAAATAAGCCTTGCCCCGGTGAACAACAGTAGCATGTTTTCATTGCCGCAGGTCTTAACCAAGAAGAAGGATGCATAGATGGATGACAGAGTATGCGAATCAACGACAAGCGGGGACTCAAAAGTTCGCAGTCGAAAAAATTAACAAAATACTGCATAGATCAGAAGAGCACGGCGTAGGCATTTTAAGATGCACAAGGACACGCAGTGCTGAGTGCCTCACCAGATGGGGACGGAAATGCTACAGAGCAGTGCGATTAGCAGCTAGTGTGAAGTCGGATCTAACCAATCAATATCCGGGAAGTTAGTTGAGGCGCACAAGACAATCCATGATGGGGTTGTAATACAGTAAGGGCAATGAAAGAAGTGCGACGCAACAAGCAGATCAAGATGACTGGTGAAAGAACTATCGCAAAGAGTAGACAAGGTTGAATGAAAGAAGCTGGTACCGACATTTCCATAATGCTCTGCGACAAACTCAGCAACCGAAACGCACATCAGGCTGGTAGGCTTCTGAAAACCGAAAATTCCATTGATGGAAACCTAACAGAATAAGCAAAATGCGGACGCCACGATAAAGAACGAACAGCGTAGAGTATCAAGCTCGAAAAGAAAAAAAATATAGGGAACGGATATGCAATAAAGTTTCTGAAGCGAGATGACTGGTTACTGAAGGGATAGCTTCGAAAAAGGCACTCACATTAGCACAGTAATGTGTCCAGATGGTAACAAAGTCACATTGAATCGTTTGGACGTACGGATAGAGTGCGAAGGATCGATAACCCCCAGATTGACACCCCGTGCTCTGAGGCTGAAGGTGAAACAGCGCAAAATATAGCAAAATAAACTGGTATGAATAACTTAAGATTACGTGGCTCGAAAACAAAATAAAAAGATGAAAGCACAACATTTACGTGTGCCTGAGGAACGCATAGCACCGGAACAGCTGGGCGTTAAAAAGTGACAATTAGATCAGGCTACACTGAGCAACCAAATTAAAAATCAATCAACAGCAGTATACCAGACGTTTGAACTGATGCTTCGCTGCCATTCAATCATGGTGCCCTATGTAATAAAAAATAATAAGAGGGAGGAAAGAGGGAATTACCAGAAAACCTTAATGCCCTAAACAAACATTCAGGGTCAAGGCGCCTACACCTTGTGTAGACAACATACCGTCACAAACAGCTGGCTTTCGTGCAAAGACAAGGCGGCATCGGCGAGACAGCTTCCTTGCGGCTTTCACTTCCCCGCGTCATAATCAGCCATTACCCCGCAGATAACTCATCACCACACACACTTTAAAACACTTTAAACAGGCAGTCCGACTAGGAGATGGCGGCAGACGCGCCACTGATGTCGGCTGCGAGCCATGTCCTGTAAAGTCTCGAGCCAAACGCAAGGTGGGTCACGTGGACTCCAGCCCGGAAGGCGAGACGGATCAACGGCACCGAGTTTGGTCGTCGGTGACTTCGTTTTCCGCAGCCATATCGTCCGCGTAATCAAGAGCAACTAACCTTTCGCCAGATAAGATGTCAACGCCTACATCGTGCGATTCCGTAAGAGAACACTCTATGATGGAGTTCATGACGAAATTGCACAAAAACGGGGATATCAGGCAACTCTGACGAACGCCACTTGTGGTCGGAAGGCTATCCGACAGGTTACCGTAGACCCTGACGCGGCCTGTAGTGTTCGAGTATAGAGTAAGTAAAATATTCACATAATTCGTGGGAACACCTCGCCGCGCAAGTATTCCGAACAGAATGCATTGATCGACTGTATCGAACGCACACTTGAAATCGAGGAACACAGTTATTGACGGTGTGCGGTGTGCGAGGCGCTGCTCTAGCACCTGCCGCGGAGTGAATATATGGTCCATACAACCATGTCCTGGGCGGAAACCTGCCTGCTTTTCTCTTATCCGAGAATCCCGCTCCACAGTGAGGCGACGAACAAGAATCGAGGTCAGTAATTTTGTCACAACTGGCGTTAGGCTAATACACCTGTGGTTAGCACAGTCTGTGCGACTGCCCTTCTTGTGTATCGCTACTATGATCGATTCACTCCAGTTAGCCGAGATGATCTCTTTCCAGATACGTTCGAATAGGGAGGTCAGTGCGTTGCAGAGGACCTCAACTAAGCCTTTAATTCAGGTGGCAGGGAATTCAGGCCAGCAGTACGAAAACGACTGAGGGCTGTGATTGCATTTCACACCTCAGCGTCGAGGGAACATCAAGACTAACTATCCATGGCTCATCCTGCAACACCTGAGTAGGAAGAGGTCAAGAAGCAAAGGGCCAAATAAACTGATCTTGAAGGTGCTCCGTCCCACGAGCCATACGGTGCTCCTTACTGTGTATCAGTGATCTCATGCTGTCTTCGGTTGTTTCACTGAAACCTGGTTTCCCGGAATCAGTCGTGCGGATCATCTGAAAGAATTTGCGGTAATTGCCTACTGTTCCCGCCTCCTCCATTTCTTGAGCCCGACTGGTCCACCAGGCTTCTTTGTCAGTACGCAGGCTACGCTTTAGTTCGTACCTAATAGTTCGGACGATAACATTGTGCTCACGGACAGCCGGGAGGTTTCGTCTGGATTCCAACAGGTTCACCGACCTCTTGGATATCCAGTGGCCGGTCAAGTGAAGTCAAGATAGGCATTATGTACCTCACTGAGCACATTTTCAGCACTTCTTTTACAATCTCGTGCGGTGACAACTGGGTATACTACAAGCATAGGCTCCTGCGTCGTGCATGGCGGCCGAGATCGCATTCGTCTGTGTCATTAGGACAAAACAACGAAAGTTCGGTACGCAGTACGTCTTGATAGGCTTGCCTGACCGAGGGCTGAGACAATTTCTCCGTTGCCAATCGGAGGAGAGGCTTGGCGCGCCTCCCGGTAAAGTTCATGGAGAAACGACAGCGTACAAGGGCATGATCAGAGTCGACGCAGGTATTCCAGAACGAGTGACAATCCAGGATGGAACCACTCCACCTGTAACTTATGGCTATGTGGTCAATTTGGGTCCATCGCTGGCCAGCTAAAGGAGGACGCCAAGTGGCACTTCGGCGCCCACTGTGTCTAAATGCAATGCTACTACAAAGCAACTGATGATCTGCACACAGTTGCAGCAGACGCTCGCCGTTGTCAGTCCGTTCGGAGTTAAGCCCATAATTACCACCCAGCTGAGCTTCTGAAGAGTTCATACGCCCTACTTGTGCGTTCATATCCCTGCAAGTACTATAATATCTGAACTAGTAGCACTGCGTGGTAGCGCGTTAACTCCGTGACAGAATGTGTCCTTAGCAGCATCAAAACTGCAGTCGGTGGGAGCGTAAGTGGAGATCACAAACAAACAGCGTCTAGTGCTACTTTGTGAACTGACCTTAGTTGATCTCGTCAAACGCGCTGCACATAAACGGTTGTTCACCGGAATCCAATCCACCAACGATGATTCAGCCTTGGAGCTGAGTATGACACTCATCCCAGCTCGACCCGTGAGTGCTGCGTCAGCGTCTCCGGATGCGTGCAACCAAAAGGGAGAAGACAAGCTGCGCGTAGTTAATTTAACAACCCATTAGGAACACTGATCCCAGTTCCGGACACACAACACACGCAAATACTCACTGTGCCCAAGGTGCGTGCGAGTGCAGCCTGTTGACCGATTCGTCTTAGAGTGCGAACGTTGAACGTCGCCAGGGGAACAGGACAGCGTGGCCTTATAAGGGAGTGTTGCCAATAGGCGTCCAGTGGGGCTTGCAGGAAGGTGGCTACAGATGGTTCTACTCCAGTGGCACTTCGGTTGCTATCAATTAAGCTGGGAATTATAGAAAGGTTAGTAATGGGGGTCGGGATGGGAGTAAAAGAAACAGGTGGAAAAGAAAGGAGGCACCAGCAGTAGCGTTTTTGCTTATCCGTTTTGCCGTATGCAGTAAATAAGATGACTCTTGATCATCTGCGCAACGGCCGATGCAGGATGTAGAGTTTGGGAAAATTGTCAGTTGTATGTGGGTTGAGATACTGCTACAGTGAACAGCTACTTCAATGTAACAGAGATGGACTGGTGAACGAAACTTAGGGGAAGTAATCGTTTCTGATGCACGTTCCTAGCCCACTGTGCTTCGTTACCGGTTATAATTTAGCTCGCATCTGACTGCTGGCATGGCGTTCCGAGAAAGTTTTTAATATTGAGCTGTGACGGTTCGGTCGCCTATCGGGGAAAATGTTTGAAATATCCGCTGGCAAAATCGAAATAACCGGTGGCGGACCAAGGTATGATGAGATTCGATGAACACTTTACAGAACGAGTGATAATCACCACCATCATCACCTAAAGCTTTGATGACATGGTCTGATGTGCCCATCGCTGATTGCTGCCCACTACACAATGATTCACGAATTTTTCAAGGATCGATTTTCATCATGCATATTTGTGTGCTGAGCACGGTGTCCTTGTGATTTCCTGCCTGCTCATAATCTGTGCTGCTCAATCATTCTTCTGTGATTCTGAATTCGACTATTTAGTGTGTTGAGCTGGAGTAGCCTGGGGGTAAGCTCCCCCAACCAATTCTAACCGCTAGCCAAACCAAAGCATAAATCAATGGCAAAGAACCAAATTCCACATGACGAACGCAGAGCACACTCAGCAATAGGGCAGTTAGCATTCGTCCACCGGACTGCTAAGGGTTCACGCGAAGAAGATCGAATCATCGCAAGCTAACTTACAGAGTGCAAGTGAATCTGAGGTCAGAAATGCAGTCATATCTTTAAAACGCTTCAGCGCTATTTACTTGGATTCACCCGCTTCACACGGAGTCGAATCGCTCAAGCCAACAAGCTACGGAAGGAGAAATCGAAGTGTGTGCTTACTACAAGAGTATCGGCATGAGGTCAATAGAGGCAATACTGATGGCTCCAGCTTTTCTTCGCCATTTGAGCAAACGTAGAAAACTCCGGGTGAGAGAACAAACAAGTTTACGACCAAAACAGGGCAGTATAGATAGTAGTGCCACCTTGCGGCAAGTGCTACAGCAATGTCACAATCATCACCGATAGACTGTGTTCCTCGATCTTGATGGAGTGTTCGATTAAGTGCATCGCTTAGTTAATTGTCATAACTGCGTGGAAAAATGCTCCCAACGGGATAAGTGGACATTTCACGTGACGTCTTCGGACACCGAGAAAACAAGTGAGTTCGGTTAGAAGTGTCTCATTTCTCCGTTTCTCAGGAATCATATCGTGAATTCCAATATACTGATCCCCAGCGAGGTCTCATGATGAAATAATGGAGCTCCGCTCGGAAGAAAACGGAAAGACCTGGAGCAAGTTGATAATCGCGACGCAATAAGGCCAGCTGATGCAAACAAACCCTCCAGCGCAGGTCGATTCTTTGGTGTGGGCCACGCAAGAACACTAACACGTTAGTAACAGAATATGGAACCGGAGGCAGTCAGCCAATTAATGCCTGCGGAGAATAGCTCGTGTTGTGGATGAACGACGAGCGCAACGATGATGTTAGACGTCGCGTCTTGGGTAACACGGGACTTCCACATGAGAGACTGGTACCGCTGAGCCAAATGAGATGGCCGGGTCACGTTTTACGTATGTTATGCGAACGGCTGCCCCGACGCGCTCTCTTCGCTCGCAAAGAACCAGGCTGAAAGAAAGCGGTTGGGGATCACCCTATCACGTGGTGACAAACAATAAAAGTGCTGACTTCCAGTTTGGCTATCGTAGGTCCCGTGCGTCTTCCGGGCTGGGGGATCAAAGATGAAGAACGTCGCTGGCTGGAAACTCTTTCGGAGATGGCACAGAACCAGGCACAGTGGAAAATGAGTACAAATGTTTGTCTTGATTTGCTTGGTTTGCATCGCAAACATTAAACAGACAAAACAAGATGAAACGGCGTGTGAATAAAGCCAAAAAAGGAAAAGATCAAAAAGTCCTATTTTGCAACTTTCATCCTATTCATTGTGGTCGCTGTATTTATTACATGGTTTTAGTTCATGGTTTTTGCCGGCTCTATCTTATAGACTGCTGGTTACATATATATATATATATATATATATATATATATATATATATATATATATCAGCCAATTAACGCAGCTCGGGAGCTGTAACGGTAGCGACAGGTGTGTACGTGACGAGATTAGCCAGCACATATATGAGTTTGCAATACAAATGCTATCAGAGGGGGACTTAGTATATGAAAGAACAGTGAGGGACGTTCTTATCAAAACAAGTGAAAGTTGGCCGCTTTCGTCTACTGAGTTCCGGTGCCCTCATGTCCTTGACCGTTGCTGCTTATCGTATGATGTTCGTGTCTAGCAGCAACAGGGTCATTGTAATGATGATGCATGTTAAATGGCGACAATTAGCTCAGTTTGTTAGATCAACAAATACTATCGAATGAATTGCGCTAGCTTGAGCGAGTATTACGCATATCTGCTGACCGCTTACAGAATGTGTATCAAAGTCATTAACCAGACCACCATTTATGCCCATGATGAGCCGACCGGTCGTCAATTATCTCTCATCTAGTGCGATTATTTTAAAACATTAACAAAGTCGTTCGAGAATTAAGCAGTTGAACTACGACATTATGGTGTTTGTACTTTATTAATCCGCATCCTTTGGTTTGCTTTTGTATCTTGCTTCTTTTGTTAAATTGCTGAAAGCGTGTGTTACGGCTGAATAGTCATCTTGCCTGGGTGAAGAAGGCACCGTCGTGACGACCACTGCTTTGTTTATCGTATACGAGATGGCGCAAAACTCGCGAAGGGGAAAAGTAGAGTTATCATCTAGAATCAAAGTTGATGACCAGTGAATTGGAGGCTGTCGGCCTGTCTCGCCAGTCAGACGGGGATCAACGCCATCTGCGTAGTACTTGGTTTGAAATAGCGGACAGCATGGGACGCAGTCGGTGCCAGTGGCTCAGTTAATGTCGTATTCCAGCCAGATTGGCTGTTAAAAGTCACATGTGGTGTTGTGTTACATTTAGAGTATACCTGATCATGGGGCGGAGCAACAAAAATCTCGGGCTGTCTCGCAGATAGCTTTCTATTTTACATGATCGTCGATTGTTTGTGACTGTAACGCGCAGGCACATTGATCCAGAGCACATGCTTGGAGCATTTCAGTTCCCTTTTATCAGTCTTTGTACCAGTACTCTTCAGTGAGGCTCTTACGGATGTAAAGTAGGGAAGCATCAGTTTTAAGTACCAGTGTACTGCTGTGATGATGAATAAAAACTATAAAAAAACTTGGTATGTCTAGCCATACAAAGTGTTCGATTACACATCGGATGTGATGCTGCAATGACACAATGTGTTACTGGTGTGGTATTAAAATTAATGAAGAGTCAGTGTAGACCACAGTGACGGTAAATAATGCACCGAAAGTGTAACGAAAGATAACACCAAGGAAAGTAGATTGAATACCACAGTGCACGAGCTTACCTCAGGCACAAACCGTCGTACAGCTGCAGAGTAGACTCGGTGATAGCATCACTGGGTAGTACAACGAGGGAGAAGCATTGAAAGTAGAAGGTACATATGTATCGGAGCGCAGGTTTGTAGTGGAACCGAAAACAGGTGAAAGTTGATATGGTTTTAGGATGTAGCCCATCAGTCAGGCACAACATACTTTCTGGAAGACCACTGACAAGCACTGAAGTCACTAAATTGGGATGGAACGTTACAAATAAGATCACATACGACAAACACAGTAAAATTACAGCGGTGTTTAATTAGTGGAGCCAAATAAACACTGCCCACTGCGTGCGATTATGCAATTTGTTCCAACACAAAGAATATCATTAATCAGAGCTGGGGTACGCTATTTGCCCGTCGTTGTGGCTGAGGGTTGTTTAAAAAGATCTTAGGACTTGAAGTAAAAAAAGAAAACAAATTCCCCGGAGCCATCGAAGAATCGACATCTGAAAGCAAATCGGGTATAATATGCCCGTTTGAGTAAGCAGTCCAATTCCTTAACCGAACAAAGGCGCTTTCGATGCGGCGAGACATCAGCTGGGGACTCTACAGGAGCAGTTTTGGGTACTATCTGAAAAGTGCTCAGTAACTTGGTCAAAACTGCCCGTGCCTCCCCAATTCAACAGTATCTATAGATACGCCGTGTGTTTGCAGTTGGTGTGTATGGTGGATGAAAAAATCAAGTTGAAGAGACAAAGAAAGACAGACAGCGGCTTGTATACTCAAAATTTCCAGAAAATACACTTTCTGTCACTACTAAACTGGAACATCTATGGAGGATATATAGCGAGAAATTCGGATAAAAACGAACGGACTTAAGTGCAGCGCAATAAAATTGATAAGTTAGAGACATAAGAAGTCAGAAGTGTCGCAAATAAAATGTGAAGAAAAAGAACGCCGCACAAATGGTAGTAGCAATATCCATTGTTTCGCCGGTCAACTAGGATCCAGTTATGAGGCAGTCACAGAACCGGCTGCTACGAATGGCGTAACTACAACATCAACAGCAAGAATAATAATCCCTTGTAAATACATAAGGATGGGCGAAATGAAAACAGAGCAAACATACCGGCAAGAATCGAGAAAAAATAAATGGAAAAGTGTATTCGGAGGACAAAAGGTTTGGTAGAGACCTGCAACGGTTGTAATGCTGAATAAGGTTGTTGACTTTACGATCGCACTATGAAAAGAGTCCATAGTCACTTGGAGTCTGTCCTGTGGGTTCCTTCTAAGTGTACTCATGCCTAACCAGCATTTTCGGTCGCTTCCTTCATTCCTTTTAAAAGTATCAACGGCAGATCATCTTAAGGTTACACACAATAACGCTAATATCGCCAAGTCATAGTAGCTGAGATATATTACCGAAAGATATTATAAGCGCTATCGTCAAGGTGCATGGTTTGAGCTCAAAATGCTATCCAGTGCCGCATCATGGGACTTGCTAACAAACAACGACTAAGCGATAGTATCATTCATTTAGCGCAAGTAAGGCGGTGCCGAGAGTGGTGGTAGAGGATGACTGCCCCTTGATGTCCTCAGCGCGCTGCGGCTGATTCAAACACTTACCACGAAGCATTGTTATAAGCCACACCATTGACCAATAATCTCCCTCCTGGCCGCACCCACAGACGACAGAGATTTACAGTGGTCGCACAAGTTATGCCGACATGAGTGATTAACAGAGCTAACTAGGCAAGTAACCAGCCACTTTGAGCTGATCTTCGAAGATGGTAAGAATGAGGTGGCCCACAGGTTCATCCATGCAACAGTAGTATGAAAGTGCGAAGCACATTCTGGGTCTTGAAGCGTTCTGTCAAGAGGCGTTTTCAGAGGAGGTGGTCTGGTCAAAATTGAATTTTATCGTCCTCGTATTCTAACTTGTGTAGCCGGTTCCCAGATACAGCGTCCAGTAAAAATGGGTTAAAAAGCTTTAGAAAGCTAAAGGCGGTCAAAAAAATTTAAGCGAAAAGTAGGCCTGACGCAACGCACTCGTGGCGAGCTCGGAAAATGGCTTATATTGGATGGCTCCGGAAACCAATGCCCAGATTTCAGAACAGTGAATAATTACTCCGGTGCATCTACGAAAGTTAAACAAAAGCACAAATAAGCACGACCAGTAAAAGTAAAGGCGACTCCTAAATCGAGGGAGATGGACATCGTAAGCTCGACACAGCGCAAATAAGTGGACAATGTGACCTCTATCGGAGGCGAAATCAGCACGGATAACGCTGACTCCAGATTCCAGAGAACAAGTTGTGAGTGTAGAAGCAATTATAACACGGCTAAAACCTCGATGATTTTCGCGTGTTTAGTGAATATTTTAGTAGTGGAGATGACAGTCAACAGCATCCGATATGAAGGCGCATCAGATAATGATAAGTGAAGCAACGAAGTACAGAATTAATAGGGTGCCACTATCGTTCAGCATGAAAAAAAGGTTATCGGACCAAGACGGCATGTTTCTTCACATCAGTTTCAAATCTACCAATAGCGCAACCCTGAGGTGCACCATCCGCGGTCGATAGCAAAATGGACAAATGGAGTCCGATAAGAATACTTCATGGTGAGTAGAAATGACACGATGGAACCGCCTCCACCGTGACGCCGTATTGTTTGTCGTACTGGACTCTTGCGCGTCGCTCTGAATGCAACATAGTGTACCTGGGCTTCCAAGAGGCCGGAAGCGATAACAATACTCGCATCCTTGAGCATAAGGATGAGATGAGCACAGCCGTTAGAATTCGTTTCGGCAGCTAACTGGATGCAGCCGATCTTGGAGTAGGTCGGAACAACAACGTCGGCTTAAGAAGTCGACGAGGATCACTGAAGGTCAGAAGTTGAAGAACACAAATACGGCTATATGCTGAGATTGATTTGAAGCATTGCTTTCAGTCTAGTTGCTGAGTGCAGCGCTGGCATCGTGAAAAAATCGGGTCATCGACTTGGCATTGCGGAATTCGGGTTGAATAACTATAGGAACGTTAAGATGCGGAGTTTTCAGGTAGTTGTTTCGAAGACTATGTGCAGAATTCAAGAAAGAGTTAGCTGTTACCTATTCTGACATAGAAAGGGGAATTTAGAGACCCCAAGTGAGAAGAGGACTTTAGCTTAAAGACGAAATTGTTGCATAGCTGAGGTAAAAAGTGAAGTCTGAAAATAACTCCATGGTTGCTATAAAAGGAAGATGGATGAGGAAACAGATAAGCAAAACGGAACTGATGTCAAGGTCTTTGGACAAGCGATGCTTTTTTGCTGGTAATCCTAGGAGTGGTATTTTGATAAATAGCACTCAATTCTTGCCTCCTAATTAACGATTTAACTCAGGGTATCTAAATGAATACCCTGTTTCTCAGAAGGTGAGGAGCAGGTTGTGGCATCAGAATGCTATGGAGGTGTAATGGAGACCAAGTACGAAAAACCCTAGAAAATCCGGAAAAGAAGTTTATGCATTTCCGAGGTGGCGGGTGATAACCCCGATGAAGGTTCACCATAGATGACTTTGGCGGGTCCGCATCAAAGTGAAAAAGGGCTGCCTGATTTGGGGCGAGTGAGAGTAAACCGGCAAGGATCACACTTGTGGTTCTCGAGCTAAAAAGTCAATCGTACACATTTCTCGCCCACAGCTAAGAGATTGATCGACCTCCCTCCAAATCAAAATGAAGATATTGAGATATGACCTGTGTGAACTCAAACCACTGATCAGCTCAGTGTATCAGTGACTTCAGTTGTAAGTTTAAACGGCCACTATTCGTAACTCCCTGAATCACGGAGCACACAAACGTGCGAACTACATAAGGGATCAAAATAAAGGAATAATTCCATGGTTTTTCAAGTAAAGCCAGAGCTTCAGTGTTCCATGCAGGTAGATACAACGACCATGAAGTACGCACTGTAACTTGAAATTGTGAAGAAAACCCCAAACCGAATTGGGTCTTAAAGCTAAACTTAATGTGTTCCAATGCACTAGAGAGCTAAACCACTGACACAATTTGTGTTTACCGGTTAAACAACAGGCGCCGAGGAAAAGAACTACTTGGCTTTCACACACGTGAAATTAGAAACAAAAGATATAATAACATGGAAATGAAACGCATCGCTTGTTTAAATAACACGGAGAAAGACAAAAACTGGCAAATGCTAACGTTTCGTATTGCGTCAACAGTAACACTGCAGTAACAAGAAAAAATAAGACTACAGTTAGGGTGACTAGATTACATACATATCGGGTGGAGGACATAAGTTATAGCCCTACGTCCAGGGGAAAATTAGGCCTAGGAACAGCTGTTTTTTCTAACTGGTGTCACAGAGAATCAGCTTCTGCACTGCAGAATGGGTGGAAACGAACTTCGGCGGTGCACCGTTAAGTATGTGAATCATGAATGACAACTGATATGTATCGTACTAAGTGGTAGTGAAAACAAAAATCTCGAAATTGCGCGACGACAGAATGCATCAGGAGGTACTCAATAGACAAGTTGCAGCATAACAATAAAGTGTATAACGGTGGGGATAGGTCACGTTGTAGCACAGATAACAATCAGTCATTGTGTCGCGCTGCCGTTTCCGATGGCTCTGTGGTTTAAGCCGCTGGCTAACAACAGTAAAATCAGAGAGCCAAATCCACCAGAACACGACGGATGTGTACTGCGGACAAGTCTCAACGGAACAAACCGGTCATCTAGCGTTTTTCAGCATGTGTAGTGGCTGCCTCAGTGAGTTAGGCTGTGATGAACCTTCTCAGAATCTTTTGATGTGAGTTAATAATAAAAGAAGCTGCAGAATGTTGCGCGCCAACCAGACAATGCAGCATGCTGTTCATATCACAAGTGAGCACTAGAAGACACACAAATAATCACTGCATTCTAAACTACACCCAAATTCGGGCTAGATAAATGGAAGCACGAAAAACTCGAATGATTTTCGAAGGGTCACACATCTCACTAAGTGACAATGTCTAACGTTGCTAGAAGTTAATTAATGGTAAGGGAATTATTCGAAAATCAGCCGTTGGTAAGAAAAAAAAGCAACTTACAATATAATCAACCAGTCCCCGGTGGTAGAGCCAGTAGAAGCTTGGGTATCGTGTTCGAAATTGGCATCGTTTAGGCGCGCCGCACGAACACCAGCGGAAAATTGTTGGATAGAATCCATCAAATCAGAAGACTTTAGGGGGCCTGTGGGACAGACGGTAGCAAGGTTAAACATCTATCAGGTTAGGATTTGAAGGAGCTTTCATTTCAGGACTTGGCGGGTAACTCAGGTAATGAGAAAGAGTTACATGAAGCAGTTGAGGGCACAATGTCAAATAACTACAATGAGAATGTTCCATTATGGAGCAAAGTCGTAGCCAGGGAACCTGATGAGGAACGGGTAGAGGGAGCTGCAAATTCAACATCTTGAAATACGCTTGGAATTGCAGATATTACGTACAAAGTTGTGTCACTCGCTTCGTGAGTTAGCTTCGTGCACTAAGCACTATGTTGAAAAGATGGACTATTGAGTAGTAATGGTCCAGAAATCGCGTATGCTCTACCTCTTAGTCAAAAAAGAAACCTTGGAAGGCATGACCAGAAAAAGTCAGTGACATTTGAACGGAACAGTACCAAATGTGCTGAGCATCATGTCATGCATCGTATAACAAAGATTAGTAATCGCTCCACTCACCACAGTATGGCAGTCTGCGAACCGAATCAGCGAACGCAATAAGAGGGGGTTCGGTTAGTGGAAAACCCGGTACAACAGAAGCATCTGATCGGTGAATTTCCCCTGTTTTGGTTATAAATCGGAGTAAGGAACGCCACCTGAATACAACTGATCTGAGTCTAATTTGGCGAGCAACTCTTCGTAGGCATCACATGATACACATTCACTTGGTACTAAGAGAGAACGAGGAAAGCAACAAACTCACTGAAGAAAAGCACAGCAGGATTAGCGCCTTCCAAAATGTCATTGAACTCAAACATGTTCAAAGATCCAGAAGGGATAACATTTACATTTCCTAGCGCTAGGTTGCAAGAAGTAAGAACAATCAGAAGCCACACGGCCGGAGTAGTAAAGTGACGGTCCATTCTGTCAGCAGAAATAGTGAAATCGGGTAGAAAAATGATTAAACCAAGCAAAATCAATTCTGTGATGACCATGACTTGAAAGACACATCTGATTATTGAACTCCGTAATCTATCAGTTACGAACGTGGACGTACGGTGTGTTCCTTTCGTTGGAGCGTTACTTTGAAGACAAATCCCCTCAGCTATCATACAACATCGCAGTTTAATTTCGTTACTCGTTAGTATCATCATAATTACACATTAGCCGAAGATGAGAAACAAATTTTAGCTAACCGTGCCGCAACACATATGAGAGTTGTAACGCTGCTTTCCCTCTGCTCTCTGTCACGCTAACCCAGCCGGAGACAAAAGTGAAACCTGCTAGACCGAAGTATATTAGGAAAAGAACACGGTTAACGTTATAAGTCACATGCTCTTACTTCACCAGTAAGTCACTGAGGTGAAGCACATCTCCTGTCTGGGCAGATTCGACCCTAGCAATGGCCTTCACCGTCTGGATGTAGACATGATCACGTCCGCATCATAGCAACCCGTGCGACGATGGTGAACTGGCTCCGTCAACTGCTCTAGATCGCGTAGCAAACTGTATCGTGTATTGTTAACGAACTGAGTCATGATCCCGCCTGATCTACTGCCTGTCGGACTAGTGTTTCGAAAACGTGTCACGTTCTAAGGCTGCATCCTGCTAGAGTGTCCCATCGGAGTTAATCGTTTCGCCTCCGTGACAGAAAGTGGGATAATAAACATTACAGAATACGAAAACTAAAAAAGCAGGTAATATAATGCTAAATGCAACACTATCCATGTAATGCGAGATTGCGGTTGGAGGGGAAACTAAACGGGAAGCGTGAAAGCTCACAACCAAATGCCACAGAGATCGGCTCCAAGCCATGTTAACGTGTTCAGCCAGCCTAGCATTCAAAAGACACTAACCGACACCAAGTTCGAAGTGAAGAGCTATATTCCTCTTGACCAAGCCATCGCTTGGGCTCCTCTCTTCTTCTTCCATTCACAACCCGGTCACAATAACAACACACGTCGCAACAGTCAAGGTGCTAACATGCGCAACACGGGGCCCAGTCATCGGAGCATGGTGCGTGATATAACCGTGAGGAGCAGTTTACTCTATCTTCCTGCACCAAAAACACGATATCGAAGACGCTCATTAGCTAAGCTGTGAAGACAACGATGGTCGAAGGTAACTAGCCTCATTAGGTCAGTCGATCTGAAAGACCACGATTCGCAACTGTACAGGATAGCTGAACATATGGCTTCGTTATAAATTCTGTCCGTCAGAGCGAGAGTGATGTCGCGCCGATGCCACAGATGACAGAGGCTGGCAAAAACATGGACTTATGTGTACAGTATTTGATTTCATATTCTATTTCACTGGCGTTGCCAAGATACTGGAATTTATGGATGACTTCTAGCTGATCATCACAAATGTCAGTGCAGAGTTGGGACCTTGACAAACATGCATGAGGACTTTGTATTTCGGGGGTGCAAAGCATAACCCGAAAGGACTGACAGCCAATGCTAATTTGTCCAGTGCTGTTTGACATGTTTGGGAGCTATCACAGATAAGGTTAATGTCATCGGCATACTCAAGTCAAGAAGTCGCTCACCTGGAAGTAGCTCCACACCCTCTAAGTCGTGTGTAGAGAATGGCATTTCGATGACTTAGTCAATGACGAAATCAAAAAAGAGGGCAGTGACCAACCTTGTCTCACACCGTTAGAAAGAAAGGGCGGCGATAGTTGGCCATAAGTCCTCACTCTGTCCGAACCTTGCGCCTACAGCGCTTTAATAATGCTGACGTAATTCCAGGGCACACCATTCCTGAGCAGGCATCGCCGGACAAAAGCAATGATAAAGTGCCCACAGTGTGACATGTGTGGGGTCGCATGGTGAGTATACAGCTCGAGTCTTGCATGGGGGGTCTCAGATAAGCAGCAGATATCGATCAATAGGGTCTCTAGTATTAGGATAAGTTCGAAATGATTTGGAATATTGCTGCCGTAGGCTAAGCTATAGCAAGGTGCGCATGCTGATGCATGCCAGTCAGTAGCCAGAATCGAGGGCTCCAAATAGGAATGGATGAACTGAATTAGTCCGCTTTGCTGAATATAAACCTGTCGACTATACCAGAAAGATGCCGTGCGTTGCGTGTGATGAAATTAGAAAGCAAAAGCCTATTAAAGCAAGGCAAGGGAGGTCCGAGAAATAGGGGTTGAAAACAGAGGGGACAAGATTGAGTTTTTAATGGGACGACAAGGATAAATAAGCGTAAGAAGGGGAATAAGAAGACGGGAGGGTCTAACCAGTGGCATCCTTACCCTGCTCGATGCAGTAGATAGGGGGCCGTTGGATATCCTCTGTGACGAGCAGAGTATCAAGAAAAAGTTAGAAGAGAAATCCTTTGCACTGCGTCGGCAGAATACTGTCGGACTGCCAGGAACTGGAGAGAAGAAGCATTAGAGTACTCAACCAAAGCCTCTGGTTCAAAAGGCTGACCACAAGGCAACGGGGTTTTGGCACCGGACTACAGAGAGTCCGTTTTACGGAGCAAGGAGCCTCCATCACTCCAACTTCCAAGGTGGAGAGCCAGGAAACTGAGTTTTGTTGGCCTCTAACCATTGACCAATCTGGTGAATGGCTCTGAAGGTACAAAAAGCACCACCCAACATAACGCAATGGATCCTTCAGACAGGTAAACCATCGCACCATACTAAGGTCCAGTCTCGTCGAAACGGGCCAGTTAGCATAAGTGCAACTAAGTGCTGCGATGCAACAAGCTCACGCTGCCAAACTAATAACAATAATAGTAATATAAATAGCAGTGATAATGACAAGTGAATAAGTGTAAAAAATAGCACTCAGATGGAATAGTTAACAGTCTAAAATAAAGAGGCAACAACACTGAATTCACAACTACACCAAGTCCGATTGTATCCAACCACTTATGTGGCTGTTACTTAAACCCCATACAAATAGATGACACCTGCCAATCCAATCCACGTTGTCGGCTAATATATTCATAGGCGTTTGGAACGTCATATACGGGTCACCCCGAGGTTTTACCCAGGTGAGTGTGATGCCGATAAACAATTTACGATGAGGCAGCCGATAAACCGATAGGCGAAAAGCATGACATAACCATCATATGCGGTTTAAGTTCAAGGGGAACTGCAATTTAAAACCAGAGCCTAGATGATGAACCTCAGAAGTGCGCATTCGGTGCCCCATCATACAAAGAATAGTTCGGACGTATTGGCAGCCAAACACTATCGGTTTCGTAAGATCTTTGGTGCATAAAAACCAGGTTCATGCTTCATACAGTAACGCTGATTCCATTACAGTGTTCCACACCACACATCGTCGTCACCTTAAGTTACAAAAGGTGTGAAAACGTAAATGAGGCTTACAGAAGCATGTAGTGACTTGTTCGATGATAAAAGGCACCGGAAATACGCCGAAACATTGTACCAATGCTCCGCTGCCACGCGGTTATCACTAGCTCCGTACAGCCTAGGAACACTGCGAGACGACCGAAGCAATCGGCCACCGGCCGGCTCTTGGGTGATCTGATCACCAGAATGGATGCAGTAGACAGAAAAGTGAACAGACGGACAGTTAGCGTAGCGTAGAAATGATAGAGTACCCGACTGGTACAATAACAGTAACTTGTAGCGTGAAGGTGCGAAATAGATGTGATGTGAGATGCGGTGTGATTCGGCAACGCTTGCATAGAAGAGGACTGAAAACAAACGGTCAAAAGAACTGGAAGAAGGCACGAGAGGGCTAATCATGATCAATTTGGTCACAAAGTAAAAGAGGAAACAAAGATAGAATAGTACTGAAAGTTGACAGTTTCCTTTGGATCATAACAACCCTTGAGTGGTGGCAAAAGACTGCACAGTAGAGAAAATTTCTCGGTATGCCCTTCAAAGCAACACCGAAAACAAGTGCCATCACGAGAACCGAACACAATTTTCAAGCCAATGAAGAGTACATTAGTAAGCTGTCTACAAGTGCAACGTGGCAAAAAGCCCCTGGTAAAGTGCATTCTCCACCGAAGAAGCAATAAGCTAGGGACTCAATGACTGAACCCATAACATGACTTTTAAAGCAGCTGGTTCCCTTCGGTAGTTTGAACAGTGCGATGAGATGAACACTGGTAGATGCTGGCGTTTCGTATTGTTTCATCAGTACCAATAAAATAACTGGGAAATACTTACATAAGTGTCATAGGGCATAAGTAGGCCAATCACGTCCAGGGTTGTGGTCAGTGGTGTAATTCGAGGGCGCGAGTTCGAGCGTGCGTAGGGACCGGGCGACTCTGGTGACTGCTGGTGGTTGCACGGTGGCGAAGCGTCGTTACGGCGTACCGGCGTACTGCTAATGCCTTTCAATGGTGTTGGCATCAGGATCACGGTAACCGCAGATTGACAACTAATTGCTTTAATACACATAAAGCTGGTATAATCTGGCTTATCGCGACGGCCTCGGCAAATTGAGAAGGGCGTGGATTGGTATGACTTTAAACGCCGATATGGGATCAATCTGACAGCGGGTAGCCAAAATGTGTCTGCTTATGGATGACGCTGGTGGTTTACATGAGTAAATATCGTCGGAGGGAGTTTGGTTAACTTCGCGCTGAACCCAGTTTGGTAAGTGTTCCTTCACTCTGGAATCCAAAGCTCTGTTGATTCTGCCGATGTAAAGGACTCCGCAATTACACACACTGGTAAACGCAATGTGGGCAGATACCGATGGGTTTATCTTCCTTTAGTGAAGGTAACAAAAACTTACGGGTCCTGTAGAGAATTACCGCCTCTACAGCACCGTGCGTACGCTGAATGGAAGAGACTAGACATTTAGTTATCCTCATTGCAGCAGCGTTACTCTTCAGTGGTGGCTCGATTTCTTAAGTGCCGTCAAATCCATGTTTTTGCGCTCTAACCTGGCTGTATTTCGACGAATTGATTTGGGTATCCATCCTCCATGAACGTTTTGGTGATAAGCACAACTTCCTGAGAAAGACAGTCGTTCGAGCTGATACGGCTAGCACGAGTAAACAGTGCCTTCACCAGCGCGTGCTAGTGTGCCATCAGAGAAAAGTTGGTGAAGTGCAGATATTGGCTGAACCATGTTGGCTTCCGGTATGCGGACAGCTTAGTAAACTCATTATCCGTGCGGCTGATGAGGACACCGAATCAAAAGCTAGGTGAGCGGCATGGAGGCAGTTGAGATGAAACTAACAAGACGAATGAACAGGAGGCTGTTTGGCACTTGTTAAACATGGGAATAGCGGTCGGGAAACACCAGTCGGAAAACACACCCCATTTGTACTGGAAGGCGCCCGATAGAGTGGCCATACAATTCGAAAGCGAGTCGCTATGCTTCAGTTCGACGAGAAAACAAACATCTGGGCCACGGAATGCGGTGGGTCTGGTTACCGAGTTTAGCGTCCAGGAGAAAAATAACATGTGGTAAATGAGGTGGAGTGCAAACAAGAGAAAGAAAAGGGGGTTAAAAAGTACTGTACAAAGCCAATGGGGTGGAACAATGGCCAGAAGAAAGAAACCAAATGCAGGAGCACCACTGACTATGCGACTGCATCACATCCAACAGAGTTTACAACCACTGATGTGGATCATCCCGGAGCCCCCCATCAACAAAAAGGCATGCAATAGCCTGAACAAGCCTCGCAGTCAAGTTCTTCATGCTGTTATGTCGACTGGTGACAGCATGTAATGCGCTACGAGGAGGATGGGTAACGGGCATACTGAAGACATGACCTAGACAAGATAGGTAGATCAGCTTTAGCGAACACTCAAGTGAGGCACGGGAGGGTTTCTTATCAAACACCAAATGGAGGACAACAGCAATGCCTTATCGACGTTCCCAACAGATGTGAGCAACACTTCACAAATACCCGTGATCAAGTAAATTAAATTGTATATAGCTCGACGATGCGAGAAGCCGTTCCCAGAAGGGACGGATCAAATAATGGTACAGCAGTTTCATATCATGGTATAATAAATTTAAAAAAATCTGAGCACAAAATGAAAATATGTGTAGCGCGAAGCGGTCCAAAATATTTACATTCCTCTTGTTCTATCGTCTGACAAGTTTTTAGCAGTCACAAGAGAGTTGATCGCACATGAGGAAAAAAAAAGAGAATAAAGTGTTGCGGGCCAACAAAATATAACCACTTGTGCACTTGACCACATGCATTTTCAGGCACC